AAGATGCCGGTCACAGATGCTGGCGAAACGTTAGGAAACAAAACTTCCAGAACACGGCCACTCAGCCTGGAAGACCCACACCAGCCATCGTATCTTTAATTATCAGTCCCAATCAAAACTGATCTTGGAATTTAACATTCCCTGTTTGATCTAGGGACTGAACACTGAATTGAAACTCTATTCTTTTGTACTAGATTAGTATAAGCATACGCAGTTTAAAATAATCTATTCAGATAGCAAATATTACTTCAGTTTCTAAAAGTGTAGTGTGGTCTTCATTAACAAAATCTGACCAAATTAATTTGCTAGAGAATCTCCAACAATTAGAATTCTGCACATAAACTGGAGAGAACAAGTACACTGAATGGTGAGAAAAGAATGTACCTCTTCTCTCTATGCGCAACCTATTCCACCCACTCAAAACTAGGTTTAGTGGCGTCTTCCTTCTACTTCCGTGTCCTATTTTGTACTGCTTTTGCAATATACACCGAGAACTTAGAATTTACCTTGTTAAGGTCAGAAGTGTTCATCATTTTCAGAGAATACTATCCATAAGACAGATACACACTGGCACTCCCAGGCTGAATCTATGACTCACTTAAATTCCTATAAGAACAGATGAACTCACCCAGTCTGACTTTCTATCACATCCTTTTTTGCCACTAGGAGGGAAAAAGGAACCATGATTTGACAACCTCTGCAGACCAGGTGAGAAAAACTGGAAACACCAGCCTTTGGGGTTCCTCTATGGCCTCTGGCTGAATACTGAACAGGCAGGAAAGAGAAAAGTCTACCTGGAATTGTGATGGCAGCATGGGAAAAATGGTATAGAATAAGCATTTGAGGCAGGAAATTTTCCACAGCTATATTTTTCTGTTGAAAAATTTCCATATTAAAATGTGCACTATTTCACAATATTAATATTATAATTAAACAAACATTTTTCATATATATATCTTGTATAGACAATGCATATAGGCATATGGCTTTGGGGTTCTGGTGGCAGGATAACAGCTTCCAGTGCTTTTGTGTATTTTTCTTGACATTCAAACAATCTAAGAATCTCAGTAGCATATACTTACTATGCCTTACATTATTCTGGTAGAAAAAGTAAATATTTTGAGTAACATTTAAAACCATATTAGAATGGATGTGGCTATTAAAGAAAAATGGAAGTAATTATATGGCATGTAAAATAATATGGGATACTTTAGGCTACAGTCCTATAAATTATAATAAAATAGTTAATCCTTCAGGTGCCACAAGACTCTCTTGATCCTGTTTTTGTTTTTGTTTTTTGCTGTAGAAAACCATCCCTTTAGAAATCACAATATGACAATGTATTGAATAACTGCAACTACTGTGGTTTATAAATCATAACTTACATCTAGCACAATGAATGAATCCAGGCAACCACTTATTCAACAATGTTGCATTATTAAACAATAGTGGGATTTTTCTGGAATATTTTGAATTTCTACTTTTCAGAAACTATTCAATACAATTCAATTAGATTCGAACACAGCATTCTTCAGTTTCAGAAATTTAAGCGCAAATCCCCAGTACTACTTGAAATGACAATAAGAGAAGAGATCCTAGTAAAATAATAAGAAAAAGCAGCAGAAGAAAATGGTTGAAGGCTGCAATTGGAAGAACAGAAGCAGTCTCCATAATCATCTGAAGTTTTCTTATATAAATTGATGATCAAAAGTGCATCACAAGGCTATTGGTAAATATGTGAAATCATATAGAGTATTTCAGATTGACTATTTCATATGTATTTGAAACAACAGTTACTTATGTAAACCCATGTTTCTATGAGTCAAAACAATAAAGTATGATTTAAAGGCTCCTTTACCAACCAGGAAAATCACATTCTTGCTTACAGGAAGCCATCAAAACAGGGAAGGGTTAAATATTGAATAGAAATTATTTCATAGAAGCACTTTTCGGTTTATGTTACTGATTGTTAGGAGCCATGATCTATTGTAAATTCACACATAATTTGAATTTCATTTCAGGATATTCCTCATGGGTTTCAGTGTACTAACAGCTCTTTTCTGAACCACTGTTCTGCATTTTTAAAAAAATTTAACAGACTATAAGATTTGGGGAAAAATAGATCCCAGAAGCCTACAGAATTCATGCCATCATTAATAGGCATTTTAACTAATTATCTCTGATCAAGTGCTTCTGAAAGGTCTGCAGATTTTGTTCACGTTACATTAAATAAGTACCCTAATTAGTACATTTGTAGCTCTTGGCACCAATATCAACGTTTCTATAGGTCAATAATGGTGACATCAACAACAGTTCATTGAACTGCCAGTCCAGATGGGTACTCTGATCATGAGTAGCAAAAGAGGTAGAACATTATCAGCACTCAAATGTTGACATTTGTTGTTCACCACAGCATGTGAACATAATCAAATAACTGGCAACTTGCACTTGATATTTCTTGTCTATGCTATTTATTTAAAACACTGATAACTCACCTTTTATCTAGAAAATTCAGGCAAGCTCTGTCCAGATTTCTTCTTCACAACAAACCTATGAAGTAGTTTAGACTGAGAGATAGCAAGTGACTCAAGGTCACCAATGATTTTCATGGCTGTGTAGATATCTGACACAAAGCTTTCTAGCCTTAGCTCAGCATTTTAATTGAGAAATTTTAACTTACTGGAGGCTAATCATTGGGCTTTATAATTATGGTGGTCACTGCCTACTTCAATACGGGAATCTGAGGTTCAAAAGTACTCACTATCATTGACCTGATGTTTGTTTATTGCCTGTGGTTTGCTGAAAGGAATTATTATTGCCAACTCACCTACAGTCTCCTGTGCCATTTTTCATACTAACCTTATAATCTTCAAAAACAGGTGTTCCAAGTATATACAGGGTATCACTAGCCTTCCTTCAGAAGGTCAATAAGGAAAAGTCTGAAATTTATTTCCACAAATTTAATAAATCTGTGATTTTTGGAAAGCACTGTAAATCTTCATTTTACGGAAGACATCTGACAAGTAGTCTGATGTATATTTGCCACTTTAGGGTGTTTAGGTTTTCTTGTTCCCGAAGGAGACATACTACATGAAGAGGTCTGTGAGATAATCAGTGCACAGACCCATTACTAAGCAGAAATTAATACATCACCAATATTTTATTTCCAATAAAAGAGTTCAGTTATTGCCAAGATATTTTTTTACATGTCAGATGCGAAATACACGAGACTCTAATAAGAAATACTGACACTATTTCGATTAGAGAAAAATTCATTTCTTTATTCCTCCACAATTTGAATAGGAATTAAATGATTAATTCAAAGATAAACAGCTAACAGAAAATACCACCTGATTTTGAACTTGGGAGTAAAAAAGACTCCAAATATCAATATATGTAATAATAATAATAATTTATTAAACTTGTATGCCAACCAACTCTTAACGACTCTGAGTGACATCTATATCTATATCTATATCTATATCCATATCTATGGGCCATGGCTCTTTACTTCTGATAATAGCTATAAATCTAGTTAGATAAGAATTCTAAAGATAGCTTTAAGTGTTTTGGTTTTACTACTGAATTCATAGCTTCATTAGGATATAAGAATGCAGAAACAGTTACCAAACAAATATGAAACACAGAGTTTCAGAGAAATGTAAATTTAATCCCTAGATCCTGCTTTGTGGTGTCTATGAAAAATAATTTTATGCCAACATCTCACCTTACTAAATATGACACATTTCAACACCAGCGGGGCTTCACAATAGCCCAATTTAATGAGCTGCCATCAGTGCTATCAGGTAAAAATAAATAAATAAAAATCCACTACTCCTAAAGAATTTGCCATTCTGATCAAGATGAAGTCAAACACATGTGTCACGTTCTTCTGTATTTCCTTTTTTATAATTCATATTATTATTTATTTTACGTGATACACCACCAACTACAAAAGTCTCTTGCAAAGCAAATTTAAAATTGGGCCATTAAAAACAGTAAAAAAGATTGATAACTCAAATTATTAAAACCAAGAGTTAAAAACTTGTATAAAAAATGTTTTAATGTCCTTTTAAAAGCTAATAAAGAAGTCAGTCTTCTTAACTCTGGAGGGAATGCATTCCAAAGACCTGGGGCAACATCAGAAAAAGCTCAATCCAAGTCACCACCAGACAAGCTTGCAGCAACTGCAGATTAGCGTCTTCAGATGATTTCAATAAGCATGAAAGTTCATATAGGTGTTCTATCATATAGCTTGGACCTAATCCATGCAGGGGTTTAAAGGTGAGGAGCACCACCTTGTATTTACCTGAAAACAAACTGGCAGAAAATTGGCATCACTTCTGTCTTCAAACAAGCATAGGGACACTTTGGTCCAAGTATATAGATAGCAAGGGAATAAGTCTGATAAAAGGATTAATAGTTTATGTTTTAGATTCTAAACTTTAGAAAATTAAAATTAGAAATACAATAAGAAAAGATAGAATTAACCAAGGACAATCTATGATTTAAAGTGCTAGGTAACACCTCCCTACAGGGTATACATGTGATATTATCATCTCATCTGATCATCTTACTCTTCAATCCTTATTTTTTTCATTTACCAGAAAGTTTTTTTTTAAGATTTACCTAGCTCTGGAATAGGCAAATTAAAAATAATGCATTTATCAAACTGCTTTAAGAACTGAAGGTTGTATTGGTGGTAAGAACTGAAGATATTATGCCAAACTTGAAATAAAAACATGATTATATAGCATGAAATCACCACCAAACTACAAGTATAGTCTCAAATTATGCTGGGCACAAAATACATCATTTATATAATGGCGGCCCAATGGTCCTTTGACGGGCGATATAAACAGTCACCTACCAGAAATTCCACAATGGGAAAGTTCTATGCCCTAATGATCCTTTAAAAATGAGATGCCATTTCCTGTAAAAGGATTATGTGCAATTTGGGCAGCAAGCAAATTTTACATTATCACTGCAGCAACCACAAATTGAAAAGTTTTGAGGAAGATCAGTGTGAACTGATTTTAAAAAAATTGCACAAACATGTTTTCCCAAAAATAAATAAATAGACAACTATTGGGGAAAAGTGAATATTTAACTTTTTTGTTGAAAGTTAAATGTCTTACCTATTAAACAACTAAAACTAGTAAACTGAAAAGGACTATAAATAGCTCTGAAAATATATTCAGGAATTTGGAAAGTTTCCTTTTAGAATTCATCCATATACAGTATGGCAGAGACGTAGCCTTTACTGATTTTTTTAAAAATTATTTGCATCTGATTTTTAATGCGTTGCTTTCGCTTTTACTTTGTAATATCTGCACTTCATATTCTAATCCTTCGAAGTTCTAAACTCTTATACCTATCAAGATGACATGATAATCATTATCAATTCTCATTTAAAAAGCATATATTTCTTCTTTTCAAATGTCTTTATTTTCAAGGGCTGACCCATATGTTTCAGAGATGGCACAACAATTAAAGACTAAGGGCTGGAGTACACATATTTTGCCACGGGGATGCTGCCATCACCATCCTGGTTAGAATATACAGAAGTACTTACTGCGTGGAGCTCCGTGATCATGCACTGAAATCCCATGCTCCCGTTTTCAGCAACATCTCCACCATGGCAAATGTAGTTATGTGCTCCAGCCCTAAGAATACCAAATGCAATATGTCTGTCATCATAACTAGGCCATATCAGGTACATTAAAATAATATACCATATATAATCTCCTTAAACTATATAATTTAACTACTCCTCAGTAAATAAATTTCTGTTTTCCCATCTTGGTACATACCAAGCCTTCAACGTTTCTGCTTGGTCTCAAGTTCCACTACAGCACCGAGCTTCTATCATGATACTAATCACTACTGTATCTAATGAAATAAGTTTTTTTTTCTGTATATGTCTACCAAAAGCTTTTTAGAAGCAAACAGAGGAATCCTCCCATTTATGTATGTTCTTTAAAGAATATTTTCAGGGTTTTAGCCAGTTCAGTTTAATGTTGAACTTTTAGGTATCAGTAAGATTTATCAAGAAGCTCTTTAGTAACCAGAATCACTTTTTACAACTGTATAAGATACTTGTTTGAACTCTTAAACCTCTTTAAAACTCTTAAAATTTACCTAGATTTCTGACCAGACATACATTAGATCCAAGGCCAGTGTAGAAGACAGACTGATTACTGAAGGATGTACTCAAATCATGGTTTAGCTATGAAGTTTACTGGGTGACCTTTGGCCATTCTCCAACCTAATTTTCCTCATGTTATCATGGGAAAAAACAAGATAAATTTTGCAAAGGAAAAATTACTCTATTAAACTGTTACAAAATTGTTTTCAATATCTGCACTACTTCATCTCTCTGCCCATGCATCTATTAGCCCAGCCCAGCCCATTCTTTCCATCACCCAGTGGCATTTCATAATATATAAAGTTTGGGAGGGATCTGGAAATTGATCTAATACAACTCCCTACCCAGTGCAGGAATCTACTATTGCAGCATTATAACATTTAATAACATAACTTGGAGAAATGTTCCTCTTCAGAAATGCAATTTTGCTACAAAGCACAAGGTTTTAATCACCACCACCATAGTAAAAAAAAATGCTGAAAATCTGCACCAATGGGTACCACTATTAATCCTTAGAGATGTAGATTAAATGCTGCATTAACAAAGATCATCTTCTCCCTAACTTCTGCCAGCCTTCCCTAGACTGGAGTCCTCTTAATAAATAGGAGCCCTTTGATTTGTAGGACAACTCAGCTCAAGCCTCTCTGAATAACTTGAAGTGGAAAAATTCAAACTAGTGGTTCATAGGTTACCATAATAGCAGCTGCCGATATATTATTTGTCAGCATTAGATAAATCATTCCAGCTTAGCCTTTTAATTACAGAAAAATACTTACTCTATCAAAATAATGACAGTGACACGAATCAGCAACACCAGAAGGTATTTGAAAGATGGGGAGAGAAGCGAATCCTTTAAATCCTTGTTATTTGATTCAAACTAACTATGCAAAATATATGCTGTATTTTAAAAGTATTTTCCATAATTTTTATCTCAGCAGAATATTTAAATGTAATTCTGAGATATGTTACACCAGAAGCTTTTAACCCAGCTACTTACTCAACACTGTATAAAATCAGGATTTTTATTAAATGACATCAATAATACTTCCTGCAATAATTTCTTATTTCTGTAATACAACAATTATTCATCAATTCCACTATATTAAGTGGAACTTATTATTGAACAGAAATATATATTTTATCCTTAATAACACCACTCTTGTAAATTTAGGGACTTTTCCTTTTACCATAGCAATCAATGAATATTAACATTGAAAATAAATTACAGGGTGAATACCAGGTGAAGCACCCCTGGAAAATAGGTGCTGGCAGTGGGAATTACCAAGCTGCTAACCCCAAGGCACGAGGCAGGGCCAGGATGTGAAATTCCAGAGGTCTTCTGAAAGAGGAAGTTTGAGACCTCCAGTCTTCCACCCTACCAGTTCAGCTATCTGCTACAAAAAGCTTTGCTTCAATCAAGGCAAGTTTACACCTCACTGCAGTCAACTTAGAAAAGCTGTACTGCTTCAGTCAGTGGTAGCTTATATGTGGGCTGAAGAATGGAATGTTGCATACTTCATGAGCTTGGGAATCAGGATAAGCTCTCTTTTCTATGCTTAATGTGTATAAATATTGCAGGTATCTTTTTGCATTTGCACAGTTAATGGTTTCTATTCCTTTAAAGAAAAAATGCACATTATTTAAACATTGCTAGGAAGGGCAAAAGGCTGAAAACAGAGGATAAACACAATTAAGGATTAATCTGATAGAAAAGAGAAGGAAAACTGGTGTGCTTGAACTGCAAATGAATTAACAAAACAGAATTCCCTCTTATTCTCTCCAGTGCAGACTCTGCATGCCCTACTCTGGAGAGTCTGTTAATCCTGTGAAGGAGAGTTAAGTAGAAATGGGAATGTAAAGCATGAAAGAAACATCTACCTCTTCAGCCGTGTCTACTCTTCTGGTAAACACCATCTGATACATCTCACTGTAACTGAAAAAGGAATTATTTTTTAAAATAAAAATTAAATTAAACTTAAATTATGTTTACTAGAGATTTGTATATAAAACATAGAGGAGAAATAATTTGTAGGTAGGAAATATACTATGCTTGTGCTTCCAGTAAATTCAAATGACCTAATGCAAATAATTTTTACATAACACATTAATCAAAAATTGGAAGAAGATTTGGCGATACAGAATATAGTGGTTCTGGAATCACAATATACTCTAAATATATCTCATGAGTGAGCCTATCTCTAGAAAGTACGGTAGCATATTGGTTAGCATCTTCAATTGACTATTTGTTCTGCTATTTTGCTATGTGTTGTTTTTTTTTTAAATTATTATTTCTAACTTGCCTGAACACTGCCCAGAATGACTGTGAACTGTTCTAGTTCTAAGGGTCCCCAACATTCTGAAGTCAATTGTCAAGGTACATAGGCAGTTACAGTAGTAAAGTCCTGCACCTTGAGTGGAAGCCCAGTGTATATTGTTAGATTTATCCTTTGAGATTTTTAGAGTATTTCTGATGTGCCACTATTGGTACTGTGATATGACAAGAAAATTATTGTCACAACAATATTTAATTAAAAAGCAGAAAAGCTAGGAAAAATATGTATGAAGGAAACTGAAATGAATTAAAGGGTGTTTGTTTTTTAATGTATGTGTAGAGAGTAAGAAAGATGGCCCTGACAGAGATATGCAAGATCCATCACCAGGGCAACAGGGAATGAAACATCTCTTAAATCCACAACAGGCAGATAATATTCAGAAGCAGCACAGACACTCCCTAATTCACTAAGTATAAGGAGGAGATATAGCACAATCAGACTTTCAAGATTCTGTTGTTATAGCCAATCTCAGTAGTTTTAGACTTCCTGTGGAATTGATTTATTGGTCTGATCTACTTAATGGGGCTGATATCAAATCTGATGGCTTACATGCAGAAAACTCTGCAGGTAACCAGAGGCACAGCTCCAGCAGTAGCTGGATATGAGGTCTTGTTTGTGAAGTTGGGCTCTAAGGACAATCTCAAACTCATGTAAGAAGCCACATAGTCAAATTTATTTTTATTTCAGAGCAGATGCAACATGATCTAAAGGCGAGGGATATTAATATCTGTGTAACGGTAAGATAACTGATTGCGGTGGACTGGTGCCATGGTGGACTGTTGTGAGGTGTCATAGAGGTTGACACGTCCCCTTCTCTTACTTAATATTTACAAGCTACCAGGTCATCTGCCAGCATGAAGTCAGGTATTGCCAATATGCAGATAATATTCAGTTGTGTATCTTGACTGTGGGATGAACAGGGATATGGTTGAGGTTCTGTCCTAATTTCTAGATGCTGTGAGAGTATGGATGGGGATGAACAGGCTTACTCAATCCATCAAGATGGAATGGTGTTGAGTGTGGAAACTATGGAATTCCAGAAATATTCCATCTTTGTTTCTGGATAGGTCTGCATTTATAATCTCGGGTTCCTCCTGGACTCACAGCTCCTGCTCAAAGAGCAGGTGGCAGCTGTGGCTAAGAGGCCCTTTACAAAGTTCCATCTTGTGCTCCAATTATGACCTTCCTCAAACCAGGAGGCTTTGCTCACTGCCATTCATGCTTTAGTCACCTTCCATTTGGATTACTGCAATATGTTCTATATGTGCCTTAAAGACCACCCAGAAACTGCAACTGGTCCAGAATGCAGTGGCTTGAGCAGTTATAGGTGTTAGTCGATTTGGCCGTGTAACAACTCTGCTCCAAGAACTGCACTGGCTGCCAGCTTGTTTTGGGTGTAATTCAAGCTGCTGACTGTCCTCATTAAAGCCCTTCATGGTTCAGGTCCTGGATATCTGCAGGATTACCTTTTCCCACTGGTCCCTGCACATCCTTTGAGATCCAGAAGAGAAGGCCCCTTCTTGGTTCCTTACAGAACATCATCTGTAGTGATTCCCCCTTATATCAGACAAGCCCCAAGTCCTTCACACAGTCATTAAGACCTCACTGTTTCAGTGGACATTCGGGTGGCTGAGAGGTCATATTAGTCTCTCCTAGATGACAACTGTGTTATGGTTATTCCTCAGTGCCTGAGATATTATTCATTATATTGGCTATATTGTTATGTTTATGTTATGTTTCATTTCTAATCTTAGAACTTTTCTGAAGGTCTGTAAACTGTTCAATGACTGGAGTAGCATATCAGCTTAGCAAAACAAAAATAAATAACATTAACAACCTTGAAATACAAGAACTAATGCCTTTATTTCAACTTCTAAAGTGAACTACTTTAGATTGGGCAGTTACTGTAAAAGACTTACAAAAATATAAAAAACTCTAAAGATTAAAGATTAATGGCAGGCAAAAAAATTTAAAATATTATGTTTATTATTAGAAACTGCTATTAGCAACATTCTTTAAAAAGAAAGTTCTTGATTATAAGCCAATATAGCTTTAATCCTTAAAAAAATGAATACGTATTCTACTTCTTATAAATGACTTTTTAAAACAGTTATTGTATTCGTATTGCCATGGCCTGTCTGAATCTCTTGAGAGGGCCTGCTGGTTTCTCCCTCCTTCAGCAGTCTCAGCTGGCCGCTACCACCCCCAGGCCTCTACTTCAGCCCCAGCCCCACCACCACCAAGGAGTGCCATTATGCAGGGCAGCCAAAAGGGCAGAGCTGGGGGAGAGATGGGGGGGGGAGTTCAAGTGCCCTTGAGGTATTAAGGGTGGACAGACTGCCAAGTGCCCAAATTTTGAACACAAGACCACAGGGCTGTAACTTCAGGGAGTAGGTGCAAATACTATTCATTCAGCACCACCGTAACTTTGGTGGTAACAGTCGTAACTTGAGGACTACCTGTACAGAAAGTGCCCACCATCTAACCCAAATCACATGTACTTCTTCTGGAGGGAAGAAACCAGCAGGCCTTCTCAAGATGTTAAGACAGGCCATGACAATATGAATAATCAAGCTCATCTAAGTCTTTCTTATAGCAAGAACATTCAACCTAAGTTTATAGCTTATAAATTTCTGGTTGTTTTAGTCATATGGCAACCTCCTAGGGAGCATATACAAACTGTTTATTTGTCTTTGAAGTCAAAAAGGATTTCACTAAGAATAGTTTTGGGTTATTAGCTCTTCAATAAGAGGATGGAAAACAGGTGTTGATGATTCAAGGAATGTTTAATACCTGCATGTTTATCACCTGATCTTTTTAAAGAAAGAAAATAATTGAAGACCATGCATAAAATGAGGAGATTTTCTTCTGTGCTTAATATCAAAACAAGTAACTTACTGAATCTTTTGTAGAGAACACCAAAGCACTTGGATTATACTAAATTCAAAAACTGATT